TAAGATCATATCTGAAATGTTAATTAATATTTGGAACAGATGACATTTGTGTTGGTATTCAACTTTATAACCATCACACCAGATTTTAACATACAACCGATTGTCTGCATTCTATATAAAGGTTGACTTTTGTAGGTCTGATCGCCTCCTTTGCTGTACACCACTTCCTTTGCTGTACACCACTCAAAGTGTTGGTTGGCTGTGGGGACCAGTAGTGAGACACATGTCTGCTGGGACGTGAGATTTCAGCTTCCAATTGACTCCATAGTCCACCCTGTAGGTAGGAATCAATGTGTCTTTCATAATAAAACACTGCCCTTCAATATTGGTAAGTCTTTATATAATTGATAATTTTCTTTCTTGATAGACAGGTGCCCGAGTAAGGAGGTTGATCATGCACTCCCAGGAGCTGTCCTGGCTAATCTCAGCCACCCAGGGAAACAATGAGGTGTCCATATGGGAGGTAGAGATGGGGGCCAGACAAAAGCCTGTGGGCAAGTCCTACACCCACACTTAATCTCAATCAGGACAGTGACATTTTGAATTGGTCACATGGAAACCAGTCAAAGAAAGTTTTATTACATGTAATTATTTAGTTAAGAAGAATCAGATGACTAAAGAGTCCAAAAAAAAAGAATCTCATTTTATTTTCCTTTTACTTTTTAGCTCACCTGAGCCGAAGGCTCTAGTGAGCTTTTCTGATCAAAATTTGTCCATTATGTCTGTCACCGTCGGCAATAAACAAAATTGAATCTACACTACCTGAGCATGCTTCCATATATTAAATATTATGAATTATGGCTTTGTCATTCTTGAGAAGAATATTTTTAAAGAATTTTCTTATATATTTCTATGTAAAACTTAGGTTGGCCATTTTGGCCCCTCCTACTCCAGGGGGTTATGATTTAAACAAACTTGAATCTACACTAAGAATTAATGTTTCCCCATAAGTTTCATTTTTCCTGGCATAGTAGTTCTTGAAAATAATATTTTTAGTCCCACCGGTGAAACTGAGGGGACTTTAGGTTTCCTCCACGTCCGTCCGTCTGTCTGTCTTTCTCCGTCAGTCTGTCCCACTTCTTTTTCCACTCTTTTTTCTAAACGCTTGCAGATAATGAACTGAATTTCGGGATGTGATCTTAATGAGTTAGAGATCAAGTTTGAATTTTGCGTTGCTTCATTGATTTTTGACAGAATTATGGCATTTTGAATATTTTTCATAATCGCTTCATTAAGATCAGGTTCGAACTGCACTAACTTCTGACTGTTCTTGAAAAGAAGTCAAAAATTTGAAAAGTTTTTAGACAGACTGACAAACAGCTAGACAGACAGACGGGCGCTGGGCATAATGTGATCAGAAAAGCTCACCTGAGCTGAACAGAAAAGCTCATTTGAGCTTTGAGCTCAGGTGAGCTAAAAAGGAACGGTCTTACTAAAATTTTACACTGATGACCATTATAAGTCAACAAGCTCATTCAAATATGAACTATATGTTACAAATATTTTCGACTGCAAACATATTTATCAATAATTTACCTATATATCTAACATTTATATTTGGTTCCTTTAAACTTTAACAATGAAATATTTCTCTTAACACAGAAATTTAAGTTGCACAATTATTATAATTAAATTGTGCTAATAAAACTATATTTTGAAGAATACTAATTCCTTAAAATTGAAAGCTAACTTTTGTAAATGGATGCATTTTATTTTACAAGCACAGAAAACAGTGATTCAAAAAGCTATGCTTTAATCATTTCATTTTCTTGTTATGGAATTAGATATTATAGTAAATGTTATTTTCAATTTATACCTCTTTAATTTTGATTTTGATGTTCAGCGAATAAAAATTATTTATCCTGTATCAATTCACCATACATGTATTTGAAATTCATATCTTCATTACACATGATGTTCTTATCTGAATAAATGCAAAATTATTATCCAATTAAACCTGCTTTTGAAATTAAGGAAAAACAAGTACGAAAAAAATGATACATTGTATATGAAGCAGAGGAATATTTCCACTTCAATTCAAATAAAAACAATTTAAGCGGCACAGTGAGTCAAAATCATATCGTAATTTTAAGATATCTGTAGCATACAGAGAAAGACTTATGAAATTATGAGTATTTAGCGAATATCTGCACAATATAAGTGCCGGAAAATAAAGGTTGTATCTACCGTTTCGTTGTTTCGGTTATGTCAAGGTCACGCAGCTCTTATTTTTAGCTCAAACTTGTAAACAACATTCAACTGGAGCATGCCAAGGTGAGAAATATGTTCCAAAAACTTTTTTAAAAAGATTAAATCAAATTTTTTGGTCTTCTTACATTCATTTGTGGATAACTGAGACCCGCGCATGGTAACTAACTATGGAAACTTATTCAACACTTTTCTGCGCACGCTTACAATAGGGAGGAAGAAGTACAAGGGTATTTTGCAATATTTTCATTCTGGGGCAGACAGAAATTATTTTTACTTTTATTTTTCCCCATAAAAATATGATTTTTAGGTTCTGAAACATGTAATTTTCTGAAACTGAATACTTTTAAGAATTGAACAAAATTTACAGCGGTCATGCGAAAATTCTACATTTGTCAATTTTCCCCTTTGTGCGTCACAGTGCCGCTTTAAGTCATAGGAAAAGGTACACACTCTTGTAAAATTTCTCTAACTATGGTTAAAAGTTGCCATTAATCAGACTGAAATTTCAAATATTTTTTTTTTATAATGGTGTTAATTTTGAAAATTTAGGGAAGGGTTCTTCAAGGCAGGGAATCTACACAATCCTAAGGACTTCCAGACGGCTTTGAACAGGGCTTTCTGTATAGGCACTCTCCTCTGCCATTTCAAGCAGTCCGAGCTCCTGCAGCTGGGTGCACATCTGGCCTTAGAGGCGAGGAAAAGGACCAAGTCTGTCACCTACAGAAGGAAGATGGTTGCCAATGCCGGAAGACAGGAAGGAACATCCATGAAATATTCCTTAGCCCCACCCAGATTCTTGACCTTGCCACAGGGTCTTTGGTAAAATTATATTTTCACTTTTAGCTCACCTGAGCCGAAGGCTCAAGTGAGCTTTTCTGATCAAAATTTGTCCGTTGACTGTCGTTTCGTTGTTGTTGTTGTCATAAACATTTTTAACATTTTCATCTTCTTCTCAAGAACCACTTGGACAATTTCAACCAAACTTGGCACAAAGTATCCTTGGGTAAAGGGGATTCAAGTCTGTTCCAAGGGGAGATTATCATGAATTTGTTAAAAATTAATGGCATTTTGAAATAATCTTTTTCTCCAGAACCGCTGGGCCAGGAAAGATGAAACTCAAGTGAAAGCATCCTTAGGTAGTGTAAATTCAACTTTGTTCAAAACATGACCCCCGGGGCAAGGGTGGGGCCAAAATGGCTGACCCAAGTTTAGCAAAGGAATATATAGCAAAAATCTTTAAAAATCTTCTACTCCACAATCGCTGGGCCAGGAATGATGAAACTCATGTGAAAGCATCCTTAGGTAGTGTAAATTCAAATTTGTTCAAATCATGACCCCCGGGGCAAGGGTGGGGCCAAAATGGCCGACCCAAGTTTTACATAGGATTATATAGCGGAAAAATCTTAAAAATCTTCTTCTCCAGAACCACTGGGCCAGGAAAGATGAAACTCATGTGGAGTCATCCTCAGGTATTGTAGATTGGAGTTTGTACAAATCTTGACCCCAGGGCAAGGGTGGGGCCAAAATGGCCGACCCAAGTTTAACAAAGCAAATTATAGGAAAAATCTTTAAAAATCTTCTTCTCCAGAACCACTAGGCCAGGAAAGATGAAACTCATGTGGAGTCATCTTCATGTATTGTAGATTGGAGTTTGTACAAATCTTGACTCCAGGGCAAGGGTGGGGCCAAAATGGCCGACCCAAGTTTAACATAGGAATATATAGGAAATATCTTTAAAAATCCTTCTCCACAATCACTGGGCCAGGAAACATGAAACTCATGTGGAATCATCCTCAAGTAGTGTAGATTCAAGTTTGTACAAATCATGACCCCCGGGGGTAGGGCGGGGCCAAAATGGACGACTTAATTTTTACATAGGGATATATAGGGAAACCTTTTAAAATCTTCTTTTCAAGTTCCGGTACTTCAAAGCTATTATTAGTGATATTGACATGGAATTATCCTCAGGTAGAGAAGATTCTAGTTTGTTCAAATGATGAAGGCCTGGAAGGGGGGGGGGGGGAAATTCAAGCCTGATGTGCTCAGGTGAGCGGTGTGGCACCTGGGCCTCTTGTTATGTAATTTAGATGTTTAAATTTTTCTGAAGCTTGGCTTGGAGTACAAAACATCTCATACCCACAAATAAATCTTTAAAAAAATTAAATAAATAAAGTTTATTAAAAGTGTGGATTTTCTTATTTCAATACTCGAACAATAGTAACAGAATACTTTTTTCAGATTCATCCCATGGACTGTAGTCTCATATGGCTGAGAGGTGACCTCTGCACCTAATCCAGGTCCCCACTGGCATAGAAGCTCGGCACCTAATCCAGGTCCCCACTGGCGTAGAAGCTCTGCACCTAATCCAGGTCCCCACTGGCATAGAAGCTCGGCACCTAATCCAGGTCCCCACTGGCGTAGAAGCTCTGCACCTAATCCAGGTCCCCACTGGAGTATCAGCTCTGCACCTAATCCAGGTCCCCACTGGCGTAGAAGCTCTGCACCTAATCCAGGTCCCCACTGGCGTAGAAGCTCTGCACCTAATCCAGGTCCCCACTGGCGTAGAAGCTCTGCACCTAATCCAGGTCCCCACTGGCGTAGAAGCTCTGCACCTAATCCAGGTCCCCACTGGCGTAGAAGCTCTGCACCCAATCCAGGTCCCCACTGGCGTAGAACCTCTGCACCCAATCCAGGTCCCCACTGGCGTAGAAGCTCTGCACGAGTTCCTTGGCAAGGCTGAAGACATTCTGCACGAGAACATAGGGCCAGCTATCCTCTCCTGGGCCTCGATGTATCGACTAAACCTGTACACCAAGTGGATGGAGAAACTCCGGCATTTCAACCTTCCAGTCCTGTATGGCCCTCCTACAGCAGGAAAGACTTGGATTGCCCAGTGTGCAGCCTGGCTGAGTGATTGCCCAGTGTGCAGCCTGGCTGAGTGATTGCCCAGTGTGCAGCCTGGCTGAGTGATTGCCCAGTGTGCAGCCTGACTGAATGGATGCAGTGAGCTGCATATTGCTTCAAGGTATATAATTTTGCTACATTCAGTGCTATCTGAACAGAAAACAAATCCAAATTTATCTTAAAATACGAGATGAAAGGTTCATGTACTTGGTTAACAAAATTTCGTCCATTTTTCCTTTGTTAAGTGAAAACAATTTTTTTTCCTTTTCATCCATTTTCCTTTGTGAAGTGAAGACATATATTTTATCTATTTGCTCTTGTTCCTGGCAGATGTACATTGTCATTTAATTGTTACATCCTGGCTCACATCAAGTACAGTCTGCCCTTTGTGTGGGATGATCCCACTTCCACTGATGAGTTGTCCCAGTTGGCTATTGATCTTAGCAATGGAGCTGTAAGTTATTTCTATTAATTCAATGCACCTAACAGATGATGTACAAGAAGTGTCGGTTGTATCCAATTAAAAGTTACTACATGTGTAGTAATTTTGTTCTATTCACCATACAAATGCTGTGAAACAAGTGTCACTTTTATCCTATTCAATACAAATTAGAATAATAAAAAGTTTTCTCCTATTCCATACAAAATAGAATAATAAAATTATTTACATAAGCCTGCCATCTGTATAAAATTGTTAATTTATTTCATTTTCATTTTCAGCATGTTCAGGTGCGAGGGAAGGCCAATGATGAAGCCAGGAAGCCACTAACTGGTTGTCTTGTGACAGCAAACTTCGATCTGAGTGCAGCATTTAAGTAAGGATTTAAGTTTATATTCATTCCATATTCAATGTAATCTCTAAAGGCTTAGTCTGATTATCAGTCAGGAAGGATAACACCAGAAAATGTTTAAGAATTAATTATAATCGTCAACATGCTGCCTGAAATAAATTAAAGACATGAAGCAAATATCATTCTATGCATTTTGATATGATTTAAAGTCTTTGAAGTTAAATAATAAAGGGCCTTGTAGAAAGTAAATATTTTTAGTTTAAAGGAATAAGATTTTCATGATTCGATATACCAATGACATTGGCATAACATGAGATAAGCATGACATTGGCATAATTAACGTGAGATTAGGATTTGACTCTACTATCCTAAATGATTATTAATTGTAAAAAAAGTACATTACATTTTAAAATTCATGACATTGAAAATAGAACTTCTTTACAGTCAGTTAACTGAATATAAGTTAGGGAATACAGTGGACCTTCAGATATCCGGACGCCAGATATCAGATGCTTCAGTATCCTGACGATTTTTCTTCGGAACAGAAATTTTTAATGTTATTTTGTCTTGTTTAACTGTTGATTCAGGTATCCGGATGCTTCACATATCTGTACAAATTGACTGGGAACCAAAGCATCTGGATAAATGAGGGTCCACGGTAACTATCTTTTAATTTGGTATTTGCGACCGTTAATGCTGAATTAACGGTCGCAAACTTGAGTTTTACCGGCGACGCGTAAAACGGATGTTTGCGTCCGTTAAATAAGCATTAGCGGTTGCAAATACCAAATTAAAAGTTAAGTTATTCCCATTCTAATGCAATCAATGCATGCTCGTTTTATTGCTTCAAACATCAGTGTATCAGCCAATCAAAGAGTGTTTTATAAAACAACTGCATTAAAATTTTAATTTAATGTTTGTACACTTTAGGTACCTCAGCAGACTGTTCGTCATGAAGATAGAGAAGACCAACCACCAAAAGAAGACTGGGGATGCCAAAGCCCTTGAGGATGCTGCCTGGGATGCCTTGAGGATGCTGCCTGGGATGCCTTGAGGATGCTGCCTGGGATGCCTTGAGGATGCTGCCTGGGATGCCTTGAGGATGCTGCCTGGGATGCCTGGAGGATGCTGCCTGGGATGCCTTGAGGATGCTGCCTGGGATGCCTTGAGGATGCTGCCTGGGATGCCTTGAGGATGCTGCCTGGAATGCCTCTTCAGTGCTACCAGTGGTATTGTGCCATCTGAACTCACTGACAGCAGCTGAAGTAAACAAAGAAGTAGAGAACCAGTGGTATTGTGCTGTCTGAACTCACTGACAGCAGCTGAAGTAAACATGCAAAGAAGTGGAGAACCTGTGGTATTGTGCCATCTGAACTCACTGACAGCAGCTGAAGTAAACAAAGAAGTGGAGAACCAGTGGTATTGTGCCATCTGAACTCACTGACAGCAGCTGAAGTAAACAAAGAAGTAGAGAACCAGTGGTATTGTGCCATCTGAACTCACTGACAGCAGCTGAAGTAAACAAAGAAGTAGAGAACCTGTGGTATTGTGCTGTCTGAACTCACTGACAGCAGCTGAAGTAAACAAAGAAGTGGTATTGTGCCATCTGAACTCACTGACAACAGCTGAAGTAAACAAAGAAGTGGAGAACCTGCAGCCCATTGTAAAGATGGACATCAGGATCCTGGAAGGCATTGCCATGCCAATGGCCCTGGCAAGAATGGTATGATTTGTTTTAATAATTATCATTTATTACAAGTAACTGTAAATGGAACACGGTAAAAGAATATATAGACTTTAATTGTTTATATTAGCTATCCTTTCCTTATTCTTGTAAAAATTTTTGTATCTTTAAATAATTGTTCTAGTTCCTGAATGCTGCTCATCGGTATGATCTGATGCAGACTGTCATCAATTACCTCAAAGAGGTCCTCATCCCATATTACCAAGAGAGCCTGAAGCCAACCTGCGCAGAGATCACCAGGGCAGAAACCCGGACATTGGGGGATTCTGCATTTTCTGCCATTTTGGAAGTGTGCAACTCCCAGGTATATGTTCGACAAAATATTTGTAAAAAGCTGCAGATAAATGTTTTTAATAGAATAGAATCTCCATTTATATTAAGAAAAGCGTTTTTCATTAACAGAGAAAATATAACAAAAATTCTTTGTTAAAGAGGGTAAAGATAACAGTGATCTTTATTCACAGGTTTAACGACAAGTTTTTTGGGGGGTTCTTCTTTGTGTCATATATATAGGGGGGCCCACCAGGCTTTCAATTCACATTTTCTATAGAGTAAGTTAGATTGGGAATGAAAGGGGGACCCCCCCCCCCCCCCCCCAGGCCCTCGGATACTGCGCCCCTGCAAATGAAGGGCCACACCCTCATTCAAGGGGAGATAATTGAGAAATACATGTAATGAAAAAATTGATGGGATGTTTTAAAACTCTTTTTCTCAAGAACCTTTGTGCCAGGAATGATGAAATGATGAGAATACAGAGTAGAGCTACATCAACTTTTAACGTAAAAGTGATAGATCACGGGTAACTCAGTTCCTGGGAACAATGATATAAAACATATAGAGTACCTTTTAACTCGTGCATCTTCAGATATCAGACTCAGGGACAAGCCCCCTCGTCTGATATCTGAAGATACACTCGTTAAAAGGTACTCTATATATTACATATTCCCTCATTTCTTTGCATTCTCTTCACATCTACCCTTAATTAATATAAGTACTTCTGAAGCCTTATCTTAATTTGCAGATATTTATTAAAGTTTATATAATAAGAGTTTATTTCATCAAATACAGTTACAGAATATAATTGTAAACTACAAAATGTACTTCAACAGTTGGGTAATTTAATTGACAGGATACATGTAGTACTAGTACTGGACATGTATATTTAGCAGTGTGTTCTTAATAGTTTAGAATTAGATATTCATAAAGTAAATTCCTGTAGAAAACTCTTAATGTCCACATTTTTGCTACTTTTTTTGGGGGGAGGGGAAATTAAAACTGCAAAATTTCCTTCTTCGGAGAATATTTGTAAACAAAACTTTCAGTGTCAACTTACTGTCAAATTTTGTGAAAGTTAAAGGAAACTTCCACTCTCATCTCTCTGTTTTGTAGATTGATTGTGTAATACAGTTTTTACTGGGAGTGATGCAGGACAAACAGAAGAAATACAACAGACACGCGGACCAGTTTCATCGGATCTCTCTGAAGAGCCAGTTGTTAGAACGGGATCCAGATGAAGAGCAAGGGAACCAGTAAAATGGAGAACTAGTTTATAGGGAACTAAACACTTTTATTTGTATGTAGACTTATTTTGTAAATGAACTAAAATGTAAGTTCTCAATTGTGTTCAATTTAAATTTTTATACATGTCATACCGAATTTCAAACTTCCACTGGGACATTTGATATCTATTTGTTGTTGAGAACTGGATAATTAACAATGTTTTTATAAGTCTAGAACATCCTTTGACTTTCTTTTTTAAAAATTTCAAATAATTCTCTTTTTCAAATTACTGCAAGTTGGGTCTAGTCTAACTGTATCTAGATTACATGAAAGTTTATCTTTGAGGTACAATTGTAATACATTGTACATGTACATAGTATTGCTGTGTGAAACAATTGTACTACATTGTACATGTACATAGTATTGCTGTGTAATACAATTGTACTACATTGTACATGTACATAGTATTGCTGTGTGATACAGTTGTACTACATTGTACATGTACATAGTATTGCTGTGTAATACAATTGTACTACATTGTACATGTACATAGTATTACTGTGTAATACAATTGTACTACATTGTACATGTACATAGTATTCAGCTGCTGTGTAATACAATTGTACTACATTGTACATGTACATAGTATTGCTGTGTAATACAATTGTACTACATTGTACATGCTCAAGGCTCAGTGTTAGGACCTCTATTATTTTTTATATATGTTAATGATGTTTCTGAAGAAATGACAAGTTTTTGTAGATTATTTGCAGACGATAACTCCCTACAACAATCATCTAAAAATGTTAATACTATTGAAAACAAACTGAATTCTGATCTTAATAAGCTAGAAATCTGGTCGAAAAAATGGCTTCTTAAATTCAATCCTACTAAAACTAAAGCAATGTTTTTTAGCCTGAAAAAAAGTGTTAATTATCCTAAACTTTTCTTCCAGCAAAGTCAGCTAGAATTTGTTTCTTTTCATAAACACTTAGGAATTTTTTTCTCGCAAGATCTTAGTTGGTCTACACATATTGATACTATTCTAGCAAATGCATACAAAAAAATGGGCTTGTTAAAAAAACTTAAATTTGTTGTCAACCGAAAAACTCTTTCACTCATGTACACAACCTTTATCAGACCACAGTTAGAATACGCTTCCTTGGTGTGGGGTGGATGTAATATAGGTGACAGCGAAAAATTAGAAAAACTACAATTATGTAGAATTGTTACAGGATTAACTCTGTTAGCTTCTAAAGATGCACTTTACATTGAAACTGGATGGGAACCATTACATGAAAGAAGGAAAAAGACCAGACTAACTACAATGTATAAAATTGATAAAAACCAAGTTCCTGAATATCTCACTGATATAATCCCTAACTTACGATGTAATTCATCAAGTTACAGTACGAGAAACTCGCAGAACTATAACATACCCAAATGCAGATTGCAAGCTTACAAATCAACTTTCGTTCCCCTTGTTATTGAAGAATGGAACTCATTACCTCTTAATGTAAGAAATTCTCCCTCTTTATCTATTTTTAAAAAGTCTATTTCTTTCAAGAAACAAATGCCACCCTCTTACTTCAGTTATGGAAATCGACGCTTAAATATTATACACACGAGGCTTAGACATAACTGTGTGCTTAATAGCGATCTTTTTTGATGTTATGTAATCTTGAGTCCACTATGTTCTTGTGGAAGAGTGGAGGATTCTCATCATTATTTTTTCTCATGCGAAAAATATACAGAAGCCAGGAAAGAATTTTTTGACAAATTTTTGCGAATGGGTAAATTACATACTGTCGATACTTACACCTTACTCTGGGGAGACAAATCGTTAAATGATTTTGAAAATGAATACCTATTCTCTATTGTACAAACTTTCATAAAAAAGTCAGGACGATTTGGTTGATATAATAATTATTTCTATTTGTAAATCTTATACAGCATGTCTATTACATATGAAATGTATTCTATTGAATGTTTTACTCTGATTATTATACATTATTATTATTATATTATTATTATTGTTATTTGATATTAAGCTGAAACCCATGTATGTAAATATGTTTGGTATAATTTATATGTAGGGAAAGGGCGTAATAAGTTTTTAGAACTTTTGCCCAATCCCATTTGTACAGTATAATCAATAAAATATGTTCATCAAATCATAGTATTGCTGTGTAATACAATTGTACTACATTGTACATGTACATAGTATTGCTGTGTGATATCTCTCCTTACTTTTATGAAGTAAGCTTAATATATGGATGTAGGTATGGTGACTACTGGCCAGTTATTCAAAAGAGTTATCGCCCTTAGACCTTGAAAATTTCTCAATTTTTTCTTACTTTGTTGACCTGATAGTATGACTATAGGGTAAATTTGCATTGTATATATTTCAAATATAAGGACAGGTGATACAAAGAAATGAATGTATGGACTAGCTGATATTTATTTAACATTGTAATCTGGTTGTAAATGATGTAAAATATTGAATTTCTAAAATGTAAGAAAATATTAACTTTCTATGAATTGTTCAAAATGGTACCTTTTTTGCCATCATCCTTATAAATATTTACTTTTAAAACTTTTTCAAAAGATAAAAATCAAGAAATCTTCATTGGTTCTGTTGGAATAAACAGATTAAATCAAGTTATGAATATTAATTATATATTTATAAAGTTTTATAATACTCAACTTTCAAGTTTGATGTTTTAATTTTATTGATATTAAAACACTCAGTACACATACAGTGTTCTATATTATCAGCTGGTTCAGACTTAAAAGGTCGCCCACAATGGTGCACTGGAAGAGCATCTGTTTTATAGAGTCAAGGAGTAAGGTTTAAATCCCACTGTGGGACATGGAGACTGGTCCTTTGGATAACACGAAATAAACGGAGGTCCTGGGTGGCAGTGGACGTTGGCACGGAAAATCTCTCACTGCTCATTTAATGTAGGCGTGACAAAACACCTGTGGATTCTATTTTAACCCATTTCTTTAAAAGTGGAGGAAAAAAAGAATAATATTACTATATTGACAACAATGAATAAATTCTGAAAGAAAAATTAATTTTGGCATATATTAAATTTGGTTCGTGTTTTAAACCAGAGGCCATGAAATTCACAATTCACAATTTTAAAAGAGGCACCACTGCTTATCAAAATTATAAACTTAGCATGCTTACTCTATTTACTTAATAACCAGAGGTAGATCAAAGTAACAAAGAGAAAATGCACTTCCACTTTATACCCAGTTGTGCACCTGACACCAAAGGAACCACTGACCCAGGGGCCACATATTTCAAAATTTTGCAAATTTCATCATAAAATTGTTAATTTATACCAAAGAGCAGATTTCAAAGCATTGATTTATTTTCAGACTATGTAACACCCCCCACCACCACCACTCTGACCCAGGGGGCATAAAAAAACCACTTTGCTAGATGCACCTTTCTTCATCATAAATATATATACTTGGATCATTGGCATAAAACCCAGAAGCAAAGGAAAATATTTTCAAAGAATTAATGTATTTTTACTATATAATCAACAGAGCCCCACCCTAACACCAAAACCCCCTGACCCTGGGGCCATAAAATTCATATTTGTATAGGAGGCACTCTTGCTCAAGATTGCAGTAATTTTAGTGGTTTTGGCCCCACCCCTCAGGCCCCAGGGGGGCGGGGACCATGAAATTCATAATTTTTGTTCCCCTCCACCCATAGATGCTGTATATTAAATTTGGTTGAAATTGGTTCAGTGGTTTCAAAGAAGAAGCTGAAAATC